ACTAAAATCAAATAAGAGAGGAAGAATAACCTGAAAACAAATAAGGTGTTGAGTTTTAAACCACGGGGAGACCATCAAAACGCATGCCTTTCCTAGCTGGACTCAGACAGGATTATACCATATATTTTCTGGTGTTTAAAAATCGGCAGAGAACAGAAAGAGAACTTTAAAAAGCTGGAGAATTGGACTCGTAAATTCAAAGGGGATTCATTAAAAGATGTAGTAAATAACTGGAGAAAAGAAAAGATGTTTCTGAAATGAAAACCCGTGTATCTTGCTTTAAACATTTGGTCCATTCGTTCATTCCTAGAAACAGTCAAAATGTGATGTAAACTGCAGTTGTAAATGCATTTGTTATATTTGATTCAAAAAGTGGCGAATCAAACTGAAGGCATTTTTTTGTCATTCATCAGCTATATAATGAAGTCATATCTAATTTGCATAAAACAGGCCTAAATGGCTCTGAAAAAATTGGAGACAACTTTTTTTCGATTCAGCACCATTTAAACTGTAAGTTTCTACAAAGAAACTTCAATGTTCATAAAATGCCCACGAGAACGATTTTTCGGACACATGGCCCTGGACTAAAGGCTGAGGCAGATAATACAGACACGAGGTTTTGATAATTCATGACATCATGCGAAAACCGAATTCAATAATTGTTTTATTATACATTTTTTAAACAATGGGCAAAAGAAGACATTCATCTGTTGAAAAATGGCTTTATTTCAAAACTAAGGTGAAAGTGACACTGATAAGCTTAACCAAGATCATTTTAAAATTTTAAAATACAATAATAAAACCTTTGTCTGAATAAAGTATACATTAAAATAGAAAAATTCTTAACGGAAAATCTTTATAACATTAATTAAAGTCTATGTTCAGCCATTCTGTTTATGAGGAGAACACTCCAAGGGGCTTGGTAATCAGGCAGACGTTGAACTTGACATGACAAATGCAACAACTGCAGCAGATATTGCATTTATCATGTCAAGTTCACAAGCTATTGTGAATTGATTGAATGCTCTCGACCAATCAGATTTTTCATAGTGACTCTGATGTATAATAATATTAATTATTTGCGAGTTCAAAAAGAGTGAAAGTACTCTAAATTCACATGAATGAACACAGCTAGACAAAGACTTTAGTACGGATGGAATCCGTTTGCATGTTCAGAAGGTCCTCAAGGACGGCGCCCACGTGGTGTTTATTATAGTGTTTGCGCACAGATGGTTTACTTTTGTGGCCATCCACGCGTGTAAAAAGATGCTAGCTACCTGTATCACACAGGTTACATTGACACTGGTACACTACGCACTGTTGATTAACCAGTTGTTGTTTCGTCTCACTTTCGTGGAGGTCCTAACAAGGTTAAGTCTTAACAAGGTTTGCTGAATCCTGGTCTTTGAATGGTATGACTACCCTGGTCACCTCATTTCCCGCCATTTCTGCAGAAACCTGTGATGGCTGCCGGTCAGCAACCTTCGAGTTGACAAAAGGCCTTGGCAGAAGTGGCGGGATATGACCATGTCCTTTACATCAAACAATTAATACCGTCTTTGAACGTTCAAATGGATTCAATCCGTGCAAAAGTCTTAATCTAGCAGTGTTCATTCATGCAAATTTAGAGTACTTTAACTCGTCTCGAACTCGCATTAATTTCCATTCCTTGATAATGGCCTCATGATGTCGCCGAAACGTCGGAACTTTACTTCATTAGTTTTTACAAAATTATTACTTTCGTGCTAAATACATTGACACTCAGAAAAGTGCTTTCTTCAAAGAACGTAACAGCTCTTGTGTGATCAGTAGAGCAGGAGGGAATGGCGCTTAGTACAAACTTGATTTCTAAGCTGGCAAATCCCGCCTCCCCCACAATTCGCTTGTTGAGTTTCCTTCCCTGTTTAACACTTTAAGAAATACCTAGCTCTATTATTTCAAACAAGGACAGAAACGCGTATATATGACGCAAAAACTAGTTTCCACGCACAAGAATATTATATATTTTTTCAATACTGCTTCAACGCTCCAAAATTTCAAAAACACCAGCCTCGTCCCAAGGCCAATTTGCGCTAACCGAGTAAGCGGAGGACGCTTGGCACCAGCCGCGATATTAAACCGCGATAGCGCGACTTCACAAGACAAACTTGACAGGTGACTTGCCCAGGACGACTGGGAACGAGGCTGCAACAAACCAACTTTACAAATTAAGGTAGATACTCACCATGGTCTTCTCTCCCACTGAACAGTGAAATTCCCAAACAAACGGCACACCTGCATTCAATTTTGTCTTCATTTTAATAACAAGCTTATCGTCACAAGCAGCATCCTGCAGGATAAAACTTTAAGGGTCGGTTATTTAAACGAAGTCTAACTTAGACCGCGGTTTAGGAAATCTTTGGACTTCAAAATCTCGTGCATAGTGGGTTATTTTAAGAAGACAAATGCTTTTCTAGTCTACGCCATATGCTTTCATGAAACTGTTCACGATAAATCGTGTTTATATAAAAGCGTTCGGCAAACTCAACATGGTTTAGAACGCGGTTTTGTTAAACACTAGCTAAACTCTGTTTAAATAACTGGGCCTAAAATTTCACTAAGTAAGAGCAATTCTGATCCTTAAGCTACGGAAAACGGGCAACAAAACAGTGCAACTTGTTTCGCAACATTGCTGCGAAACGAGTTGGAGTTTTACCACACACGTGCGTTCAAACCGTACCGTAAAAGTTACGTGAACACTGACTTCTGATTGGACAAAATTACGCGGAAGTCACGCCATACACGGGAGTTACGTCAAAACGTTACACAACCAGAAACAGCCTGATTTGTTACAAGACAGGTTTGATTGATGAGTGGCAAAACGCGCAACATCGCTATTCAACTCCCTTTGCAGCAATGTTGTATGTATGTATGTAAATCTTTATTTAAACACGGGAAATCATCAGTTAAAAACTAAAAACTAAAACTGATTACAACTGCTTTACGTGATTGCCGTGTGGAAATCCGATATATCAGCTACCTTCTTGATATTTCGCTGAAAGTGCTCAACGGATGCAGCATTTTTTAAGTTTTTGGGAAAGTTATTCCATAACATGGCCCCGCTGTAAGAGAAGCTTCGTTTCAAATAATTGGTGCTTGGTTTGGACAGGGTCAGCCTCCCCTCAGAGTTTCTTAAGTTGTAAGCAGGTGACGTTGAGAGAAAAGACTTTGTAGATATTCTGGAGCAAGGTCATTCATAGTTTTATACATCATTAAGGCTTTTTGTTTCTTTTGTCGAAGAGATAGCCTCTCCCAGCTGAGGGTGGAGAGAAGGTGGTTTGAGCTCGCATCAAAGGGTGATTTAGTAATAACTCTGGCTGCACGGTCTGTAATTCTTGGAGCTTATCACTCAAGTAACCACTCAAACAGTCCCAGACGGGGCTGCAGTAATCAAAATGAGGCATAATTAAAGCGTTATAAATTTGAATTGCAGTTTCTTTGGATATAAAGGGCCGCACACGTTTTAGGGCGCCTATAGCTGAACAGACTTTCTTGCAAATCTCTTCAACGTGTTTACCCCAAGAGAGTTGAGCATCTATGGTAAGACCCAAGGATTTGGTATGATCGACTCTCTTGATAATTTGGTCATCAATTCTGACTTCTACATCGTCACATTGGGCAGATAGTCTTTGTCTGGATCCAATAATCATTAGCTCTGTTTTAGCAACATTTAGACTGAGCTTGTTAGCTTTCAGCCAACAGCTAAGGTTATTTAATTCAGGGGTTAGAGCTAGCTTAAGCTCTGTTAACATCTTAGCAGATAACGTAAGGTTGGTGTCATCGGCAAACATTCTTGGTACGGCGCCCCACAGGGAGTTGGGAAGATCATTAATGTAAATTAAAAATAGCAAAGGACCCAATATGCTACCCTGCGGCACACTGCAACTGAGGGTACGAGCAGATGATAGTTTGCCATTGACATTACATCTTTGGGTTCGGCCACTTAAGTACACCGAGAACCATTTTATAGCTGCCTGATAGACACTCAAGTATGACATCTTACGCAAGATGATCTCATGATCAATGGTGTCGAATGCCTTAGTAAGGTCAATAAAGACAACGCCATTTAGAAGGCCATTGTCGATGTTTACTGACCAAGCATTTGTTGCCTCAAGCAAAGCCGTGAGTGTACTATGTAGAGAACGGAACCCTGATTGGCAACCTGGTAGCAATTTATTACCATCTAGATAATGGAAAAGTTGATTATAAACAATTCTTTCAAAAACTTTCGAAATCATAGGGATTACAGATATTGGCCTGTAGTTGTTAGGGTCCGATTTAATGCCCTTGTTGCAAAACAAGTTGCATGTTTTTGTTGCCCATTTTCTCGTAACTTTAGTCAGTTAAATTGTTGCTGTGCCAAAGTGAAAATTAGAGCTTGTAGTTAACGAAATAATTGCAAATACCAAGACCTAAAAGGCGTCAACAAAACGTGAGTTGGCTCAAGCCCCGTAACTCACTGAAAGACCACAATGCAAAATGTATGTCGTATGTACGCCAGCTTTTATTAACAGACCTCATTTATTGTAAATGATGTTTCCTCTCTTTCCTTGTCTTCTTCAATACTCTTCTGCACAAATTTAAACAAGAATGAAAGCTTTGCTTCAACATTTGGGTTAAGGTCCTGTTAGAAATAAATGAACATGTTAAAGTCATGGCTTTTCCTAAAAGTAGAACTAGGACATGAATGGGGACATTAGGATAAGTGAACAGGGACTTGAGGCATGGAGACTTAAAGATACAGGGCATGGAGATGTAAGCTATGGGACACAAGGACATAATATGCAGGACATGAAGATGTGACTGCCTTGTACCTAGACGTCTCTCTCTCTCGATGAAGATGTGCGCGCAAAGGAAGGCGGGAAGGAGACTTCACCTGCCGTATGTTTCTTCTCATGAGCCAAGGAAGGGTACTTCGGATTTCAAGTGACAGGGATGGTCAAATGAAGGCAAAAATCAAAACCCAAAAAAATCCCCGGGGCTTCCAACAAAACCCAAAAAAATACCTGAAACACAATTAACACCCAAAAAATCCCATGTCGAATTTCTGAGCCATAAAAATTTCCAGAAAGCATTAAATGATATAACACGAAAAAGAGAAACATTAGTTTTGAATACTGCAAAAAATCCCCACTTACATCAATCTACCAAAAAGGGTTGTGAAAGGGTAAAATGGGAATTGGGATTTGCCTTTTTATGTACTGAGAAAATGGGATTTACTGCACTGGGACTGGGATTTAACCACAGTGAAAGGAATAAACAATAAAAATGGGAATGGGTTTCTCTCCTTTCACGATTTTCAACTACATTATTTGACACAATTGTTCAAATGGGCATATTCTTTTTTTAATAAAAGAAGTAATTTTCTGTACCAGTAGACCTCAGTGGACACATAAGAACATATCAGGTTTTTAATTTTTTGCCACCACATCCAATAATACCACGCCACAATCCAGTTAACTGTTCTGGTTATTTTAGCAGTTTGTTGTCATGGGAATGATATATGAACATATTTGCCCATGACATAGATTAAAATGGAGTCCAATTTAAGAGGTGTTCTAACCTGAAAAAGCACTACAGTGACTGAAAATACTTTTCAGCTACAAATTAATGCAGTCATACACATGAAAAATTGTAAACTTAACTTTGACTAGGCTTGATTACGAGCCGCTGTTTGGGAAAAGAGCCCACACTCCTCCCCCGAACAGACAGCTGGACGCACGAGTTTGCTATTGTCAATTACCACCAATCAGATCGTTGCCTGCTCGATTTGAGCAGGCAATAAATTTATTTTCCTGGAGCAGATTTCAAACGGCAGATGCAAAGGTGTTGTTTGATGTGGCGTGCGATCGTGTTTTAGGGCGTTTTAAGCTTAAAACCTCAAATATTTACAAACAAAAGTAGTAGCTTAGAGAAGGTGGCAAATAGCAGATATATTTTTGAAATTCAACCAACCAGAACTGGATCAATAATAATTATTATCCAGTTTGCAATGATGGTTGTTGACAGCTAACGTGAAAGAGACGACTGTCAAGTCCATCAGTAATGCAAGATCAATGTAAGTGTTTCTGCTAATTTTTATGGCAAATACCAAAGCAAAGACACGGCGAAGCACAACGTGTGTTCAGTATTTAATGACATTTCCAATTTCTGATGTTTCATAATGATGCATAAATTAAATTTTGAATTTATGTCACAGACACAATAGGTCACTCATGCGTCCAGCCATCTCTTCTCGGGGAGGACAGAGAAGGCTGCAGAAATCAAGCCTAAAGTTGAACTTGAACTTCATTCAGATTGAGAGAATTGCAAAAGATAGTTATACAGAATTGTGGAATTGAAGATTTTGCTGCAAAGGGAGGATTTGGGGTGCTTTCCATTCAAAAAAAATTCCAGTTTGAAACTTTGGACATTCCACATACCCAATGGCATGGTACATTCCGTTTGCACAGACCCGACCCAAGCCACTGCGCATTTGGTTATTGTTCTTGTAACCAGGATATAAAAGAGCGGTACTGGGGACAACAATTTTGTCGAATGGAAAGGGACATTTCGGTCAGGCCAAAATGACCAGACCAGTCAAAGTGGATCACCTTCAAAGCTGATTCCAAAAATTCTGGTCGGACCAAGTCAAAATGAACCCTTCCATTAAATGTAACAACCGAAATTTCCGGAATTTTGGGTTAAATGGAAAGAGCCCTTGGCGATCATGCAGTAGAGTCATAACACATGACGCCTTGTCTTCCATTCAGATTTCTGTGATTGGTGAATACCATTTAAAACTAGAAGCACAGACATTAAAACAGGTAGTCATGACATCACTTTCTGGTCCTTTTCTCTTTTCTCGAAATTGACCACTATTAAAATTCGGGTCTTTTTGGGTGGCCCGTGGTCGGTTACGGACGGGAGGTTTCACTGTAATGAACTGGGAAGCTTGATCTTTAAAAATAATTAAAAATTATTTAACGAATATCATAGACATTGGACAGAATCATATGTAGTGTTCAGATCCATTTACTCCAATGACATAAAGAAAGACACACGCTGTCAAGAAAATGACATCAGAAAACACAATTTCATACCTTTGCCCTTATTCTGAAGTTGTCCTGCTCAACCTTTTCGTACCACATAGTACTGAAATCCCACAAGCAGAATTCATAACAACACTCCGTCTCGACAAACATTGTTTTTACTAGAAATATGTTGCCTGAAATGATGAATGGCTTCCACGCTTGAGAGTTTATATCTGGTTTCCAACGTCGTCTCCAAGATGTTTCCTTCCGAATAGTTGCCGCCATGTTGGTTTGATCGGGCCTCTCTTCATGTATGCGACCACATATTGTCTTTGCACTTGAGCAGGAAGGAGCGGCTACAAAGTCCCCTAACATTTTTAAAAATTTCATTGTTTCATGTACGCTCTGTGCATGTGCTAACGGGACTTCTTCTACTTCCTTTCCTTTACGCTTTAGTTATTTGATTTTTTCTGTTGTTTTCTCATTCTTTTTTATGCATGCATGCGTACTATGGTGCTTTCCAAAAAGTCAGAACTCATGCAGAACTGGCCGGCCGGACCGCTCATTTTGAAAAATGAAATAGGCTTTTTCCAAGAGTTACTTATGGAAAACGATTTCCTTCGTACATGGTATTTAGGATTTGACTGATCTGACTGGATAGCTTTGCCGGTTAAAAGTGAAATTCTCATTACGACGGGAATGGCCTGGTAGGGGCCGTCAACAAAACTAGGATCGGATCGGACTCCGGATCCGATCGGATCGGACTGGTATTTTCGCTTTTGGTGAAGCAGAATTATTTTGAGAAAAGCTGTGTTTAATAATAACACAGGTGACTCGGAATAAGAAATTCGAGTTCTCACAACAGCTAGGAGTCTGACATATCACTAGTCCAGACACGTTTGGACTATTCACTGGTTCGACTCAGATTTTTTCTTCCGAGCTGCCTGTGTCACTAATAAAAAAAATCGTTTCTCATGTATCACCAGGCTTAAAATTCACCATCAGCTTGAACATCATCGCAAAGAATTATTTTCAACTGAACTGCGCTAGGAAATTTCCTGTTGCATAACTTCATGCGATTATAATTTTCAAAAAGAGGCTAGGTCACGTGACATCGCACGAATCTAAGAGCAGAGAGAGGTGTAAGTATCTCTCATTGCACTGATTTTTTGTTTCTTTCCATCTCTACTCTCTTCTGAATTAGTGTTGTTTTTCACTGAGCCTAAGTTGAATGTTTTTTTTTAGAGGAGACGTTTAAGAAAATCGCGGGAATGAACAAGGTATGATAGCGACGACTTGTTGTCAACAAGCGAATGACCTCTTCAAATTTCACTTACATTATTTTCATTAACAAGAAGTCTTCTCATACCTATCTGCTTGAGCCGAGTCCCTCGCAGTAGTATAACAACCAACAAGCAATCACTTTCAGTGTAACTTTGAATTTAAGGCGAATTACCAGTATCCGATCCGGAAGTCCGATCCGATCCGCAATCCTATCCGATCCAAGCAATCCGATGCTGGTTTTGTTAACGGCCCCTGGCCGGTCAGTTCTGACAAATGGAAAGTGCCCTTAGTATTCCTACACATACAGTAATAAGGAATATAAGAAAAACAATAACCCCTGTATTCTGTGAGCAGAGGCTACTTCTTCGCGACATGCCTAGCGCGCAAAGCCTGAGTAGAAAAAGTAACCAATGCTCGTGGGGCGCACAGATCGAAACTTTGCAATAAGTACAAAAGTATAATTCGAGTCCATTTACATCCCTCTTATGTCATTCGAGATATGACCAACTTTAGTAGATGTCCACATGGATTTGTTTAAGTTTGCAAAGGAATACAAAATAATGCGCGAACCACTTCTGTCTACACGAGAATAGTTTACCCCGGCCGGTTTACGAACATGTACTCAGAACGTACGAAACTGAGTATAGGCGTCTACGATCCCTTATTTAAAAGTTAAAAGGCCTCCATTAAAATGTCAAAAAGGTCTGTTTGAATTTTGAAAGCACTGCACTTAAAGGTTGCGTCTGTTTCTTCCGTTCACTTGTGAACGATGTTAGCAATCATGTCGTAAATCGGGCTGTGGTCACACTTGGGTTTTTTTACTCTAGTAAAGTCAAGTTTACTTCAGAAAACACGTTTTCTCATGTGACCGAATTTTTTCACTTATGATCTACGGATTAGACAAGTTCAAAGAGATAAATATCAGTCTCTAGATCGGTGTAAATAGCCACAGTAAAAGTTTACAAACTTGGAAGAACCCATGTAAGGCCTTAGTGTAATTGCGCAACGGAGGTCATCTCTTGTATTGCGTAATTGGTATCAGCAAAACCAAAGAGGAAATCGTTTGTCTTAACGAGAAACTGCTTACACCTTGCTTATTTGACCGGACACAATAGTTCAAGGCCAAAGCACGTGCTGTTGTGCCGCGCAACTAACTCAAATTATAGTTTCTTTCACTGTAGGATGCCAGGTGGCATGGAAACACCATGAAATACGCGAGTTAAGAACTGGGAACATAATTTTAAAAATTAAATCTACGTGGGACACAAATTTCTTCTACAATTGCGTGGGTACCAGTACTGTTCCGGTACTGAGATCTCAATAACGTAGTTGATACAATTACTTTCAACTGGTCAAACGAAGGCAGAACATTTTTGTTGAAAGTAGAATACCTTAGCGTTGTTAACCTTGAAACCATAGGAAGTCAAATAAGCTATTTTGATCTAAAATGGGTCCCTTTCATGGTTTTGTCCTATTACTGAAAATGACCGGGGCTAAAACCACCCGCAAAATGTCATGTGTTTTTATGCCTTGCTTACGACGGTGACAGCCGAAAAAGCTTTTACCTGAAGGGCTGCAGTTCTACGATCATTCACGATGCTCAGTTATAACTGCAATGCGAGTGTATAGCTAATATGTTTTAAGTTTTCGAGTCGACTAATTTTTGACTGACAAAAATGTGTGACTGGGCTTATTCACGCCCTACTCCTATAAACACCCCTTCCTTAAACATTCGCTGCATATATTAGACTGTCAAGGCCAGTTTAAAAGTTTAATTCTCTGTTCCCATGAAATCCATACGGAACGCGGAAGATTAAGTCATGGCTGAAAACAACGTAGCACAGTAAGTGCCAGCCGAATTATTCACGTATCGACCTAAAGGTGATGTTACACGAGGCGATTCGCAACGATGATTTTTAGCGCAACACAGCGTTGCAATGTTGGAACAACGTTGTAACCGTTCGAGACAATGTCGCCACAATGTATCAACGCTGTGTAGCGCTAAAAATCGTCGTTCCGAATCGTCTCGTGTATCATCACCTTTAGGTCGATACGTGAAGAATTCGGCTGGCACTTACTGTGCTACGTTGTTTTCAGCCATGACTTAATCTTCCGCGTTCCGTATGGATTTCATGGGAACAGAGAATTAAACTTTTAATCACCCACTGCAAGATAAAGGAGACTGCTGATTGGGGATTTAGAACTTCCCTAAATGAAAATGACAGCAGTGAAAAACTTTACCTTTTTAAGCTTGCATGCTTTATTTATATGCAAATTTTCCTACCATATGTCATCTGTTCTTTCGCTATTAGCTACTTATTCTACATTTAAATTTCTGCTAGTGGAACATACGAAAAGTCAAGTTAAATGTTATAGTTCTTTTTAGAAATACGTTTATATATTTTCTTATGTTTATCACCGCAGTTTGCTTTTGCTTTTTCTTAAGCTAAAAAGAAAATGGCCAAAAAACAAGAGTATCTGCGATTTAGACATTTCTTGCTGTCAGAAAAAGTAGGCAATCAGCAGCAAGCCACTCCTAAACAACAGGAGACTTTGGGAAGTTAAATGCACCCAAAAAAAGTATCAATACTTGCATGGTTCGGAAACGTGTGGATTTATTTCTGGTCTTGACTCATTCAAGCAGAACCCGAAACTTTCGTGAAGGGCTGATTGTCATATACGAGTTACAGCCAATAGCGTTTGGACAACTCAACTTCCTTTGCGTATTTAGAGATTACCAAAAAGAGGAACTTCTAAATATGTTGCTGTACGAACCTTTAGAATTAAAGCTAATTTGCTGAGGCCAATTTGTTCCAATCGCAGCCGGGGTTTAACTGCACCTATATGATTCGCTTTTCGGTCACAAATCTTAGTGATATCTCAGTTTTAAAACTAAAATCTATACCTCTTCCTCCTTGGGAAATATCTCGTAACATTTAAGACTTTTTAAGGTATAATAATAAAAAACTGCAAAACCGCCCTTGAATTTAGTGAGTATATAATATAAAGAGTCGAAGTTTTTCTTCCAGATTTAGGAAGAAGTTATTTAGAAATCCAATTTCCTCCTTTTTTATCTTGCGGAACTGATTCAAGCGCCAACAGCTCTGAAAACGTTTTGGTTGCTATTTGAGTCATTTCAAATAACCTTAATTCGCTTAAATAGTGTAGGCTTTAATCATTCGGATTAAATTGTTTACTGCTATTTAACCATTTAGCGGCATCTTTTATGGGACTTAAGCAGAAAATCGGTTTTTTTAAGTTTATTTTGTATGTTTGTTATTAAGCAGTTGTTAACTTTAGTTTAATTCAAACAGAAATGTCGTGCCCTTTTACATTTTCTACTCAGAACACTGAATTATGCAACATCAGTTACAAAAACTACTTCTAATCCTGTTGGGATTATGCTCTTAGAAAACGTTTATTTACCCGCAAAACAATGAACTAGACGTGCTCCATTGACTAGAAGTACATAGATCTCCGGCTTTTCTGGCTGATGCAAACACGAAACAGGTTTTCATTTCACCGAACGTATATCGTTTTTCCCACGGGTTTACTCGAGTATGTTTTGAATTCACTCGTCAATGTTATCAGTAACTCAGGGTAGGTAAACCACGGAAAATGGTTCAACCTGATTCTAGGCGGTTTATATCTTTTCCACTCGTTGCTATTTCAGTGTCACCGATCAATTTAACTTCTTATAAACAATTTCAAATCTGGCTAAGATAATCTCTTCCGTGACTGCAAGCAAATGTATTTGATCACATCGTCTGAATTGCAAACTGAGTGAGTGGGAGTACTGTAGCAAGGTGGTATCTTTTGTTTACTAGCTCTCTCAGCGTCTTATAACACGTCAGTGACTTGCACTCCAGTCCAGCTCATATCCACCCACACTCACTAACATCTTGAGTCAGTCATCGATTAAATTCATCACGGCTCGCAGGAAATCAAAGCTTTCAACTGATCCTTGTCCTACTTAATTTAATAAAAAAAAGTCTTCCCCCTCAATTAAGTATCGCTATCTGTTAATTGATTTTTAATCAACATTTTTGGGAAACCGTCTGTCTGTTCCTTTCGTGTTTGATAAAAAAAAT